GTATTTGAATTGGAAAGCTAGTCTGAAACCTTTGAATGTTTCTGAGAAATCCTTTGAGTATCTAATTTATTTTTGAGATATTTTCTAGCATTTTAGGCTATTCAAATGCTTTTTAATAAAATTTTGAATACGAAATCGACTAAGATTTGAATAAGATTTAATTTTAGTCGAAAAAGTTATTAAAAATCATATTCAGTTTCTCCCTCTGAGTTGTGCTCTTAACGCGCTTTATTACATAATATTCAATCGATTTCTTATGCTTAGTCAATAATACAATTTACCAGCTTTTAATAAAACCTTATATAACGTCTAAACATTCAGAACAAACAGTAAATAGAAATATTTCAATTTTCATGCAATAAACAAATTGTAATCAAACTTTAATTGAATTGGAAATTAATTTTGTAAACTCAATCAATTACTGAAATTGGAAAAGTTTTGTGATATAAATCGATGTGTTGAGGAAGAAAGAATTTTCATATTTGTATTTATTTTCTTATTAATTTGGAAAATGTTACAAAATTTTCTTTGATTTGTTGTTAAAGCTTTGTATTTATTGTGGGTGTTTATTACATTTCCTTTGAGAACTCATCATTGATGAATTATTTTAAAGACTATATTAAAGCTTAATAGTTTTGAATGAAGACTTTAAATTCTTTTTCTCAAATGCTCAAAATCTGAATGATTTTCCATCAAAAGCTTCAATTTAAATGATCGAAATTTGAATCAATAATCTGTCTCAATAGACTTCCAACTTCTCAGTATTTTCTAGTTCATAACTTTATCATATTCATTCTAATGTCTTCCCATGAGTTTATACTTGATGTTAATTTAAATATGAAAGGAATTTTTTTTACATGCAAGAAAACTCTTCGTTTAATCTGCATATTTCTGTCGATATTAAGTTGAACTGAAAGAGTCAACTGTGGCATTTGGGATATGTTTGTAAAGAATGCTTGAATGAACAGCAAAGAAATAATCTTTTAGAAGCAGAATTTTGAGTTTTTATGTTCGTTGTGAAGCTTTTTGATCACAATGGTTGGTATTAAGATTAAACTAATTCTCGCATGTATTTAATTGTATTTAATCTTGGTGTAAAGTCTAAGCAGAGCTCGAAGTCGATGAAATTTTGTATGGAGTCTAATTTGCCATACAAAATTGATTATAATCTCTAATCGACTTTGAAGTCTGGTTTAAGGGAATATCTCAGAGTTTAGAAGTATAATTAGGTACTATCAGGATTATATCAGGCTACTGAAACATTAAGGAACAAGTTACACTACAGCACTAGAAAAAAAGACTCTTATATACGTTAGACTACCAAGTAAACTACAAGTTTAACAAGGCTAGAAGATACACTAAGAAATAAGTTCACTAAGCTACTAAGTTCACTAATTTTCTAGTTATACTAGACTACTAAATAAGTACATTATGCTACACGAAGGTCACTAGGAGTAAGAAGACCAGCCTTTTTTTTTTGAAAAAATAGAGGACCTGAAAGTAAAATAGAAGTCATCACATGTGTCTCCCAATTTTATTCATTTCTGGACGAACTAGAAAAAAAACAATGAAAAATGAAAAAGTTGAGGACTGTCCTCTGAAAAACCAAGCAGATGGTCAGCATACTAGGAACCAAAGCTCTTTGGGGTCTAGGACAGTGAATTCCAAACTATGTATCGCACAAAAAATTCGGAAAATCTCACGAACTGTATGCCGTGTACGATTTCGGTCATGGCTTACCATCAAAATGCGTTGCCGACCAAAAAAAGCACTGGTCTAGGGTTTATGCAAAGCCAGTGATTCTCAACCTTTTCAAGCCAATATATAGTCAATACACTCAATACCACAGAACTCCAATATTACCAGAAAAGTGCCTTGTATCATAGTTTGAGAAGCACTGTCCTATACTCAAGACACCTGCCTCTAGCTAAAAGTGTTAGATCCTGTAAACCATTAAATACAACCACACAGCATAAATCATCCAATAAAGTGTAATTAAAGCTTTAACAAACAAAAAACGCTAAGAATCCCAAAATACATCAAATTATAATCAATAGAAATTAAATATCCATAAAACAATTTATTATCCATCCCAAACCAAGTCTTTATTTATCTCCAATACTCTCAAAACTTGTTCAATGAAATTCCATTTTATTACACAAAACTGGATCTTCTTACTATTAATGCTCCAAGGGGGATAAAAGTCTTGAATTTAAACATAAAGATATTAAGTAAACAAGAAACTTTTTCATTGGCTAAATGTTTGTTCCACTAAATCTGCCACTTCCTAAATTTGAGGGTAAATAAAATGGAAGAAAAAGAAGAAAACTTTCTTTGTATCAGATTTTATGGAACAAAAAATTTTTTTGCTTAATGCTTAAGAAAATCTTCCAATCTAGCGATTAGGCAATTTAAGCGAAAAAAGAGTAAAAGATAAAGTTTTTTTTGTGTTTATTTTTTGAGATTGAAAACTTTTACGACCTTTTTCTATCAAAAAAGCAATTTCTACTTTCTGTCTGACTCAAGTCTTTTGCTTACTCAATTCATATGGAAGAAAAATTAGAATTAGAAAATTCTACTGTTGCTTTTTTTGCTGATGAAAGTTTTTTTGATTTTTCATCAGTTTTCTAGAATTTTGTGTCAAAAAAATTTATTTCTAAAATTAATTTGGGACTTTTATTAATGAAAAATCAGTCAACAGATTCATCCTCAGACAATCAAAAAATTTGAACAGCTTTAAGTTTGTTAATGGAGATTTTTGTGTGGGTAACTGAAAGCTTTGGTAATCCCACGCATAAGAAAGCATATGGCTAAGATTTATAATAAAGCAGTGTTGACCAACCTGTGTGCCGCGGCACACTAGTGTGTGAAAATTTGAGAAATCCCATGAATCACGTATCACGGCTTACAACCAAAACGTGCCGTGGCACCAAAAAAGGTTGAACAACACTGCAATAGAGTATATTCGAGAAGCCAGCAAATACTACAGAACGATATCATCCCAATCGGCACACATTGAAATGTTTGCCACCAGAGAGCTGGGATAGTATAATTACCAAGCGGTAGCTGCTTCCAAGCAACTTCTAGTTGGATGCCAAGTGGCAAACACTTCAATGAATTTCAATTTGTGTCGGTCAGGCATGTTTACTCAAAAACCGCTTCTATTAGCTACTGTTAAATACTATCAACTTACTTATTTACTTCGCTGGTCGTACAGATCAATTGTGATCGAGAACCTTTCCGTGTCGTCTTTTAAAACTAGCTCTATCGCTGGCTATTGTCTGCCATTTAACGATTCCATATGCAACACTGTCTCTATGGCCTTGCACACGATTTCTTTCCATCTACCATCCAGCTCTTAATAAACTTCCAAAATACCCAACAATCACTAAATCATGCCTCAACCTCATCATCCGCTTAAAAATTCTCAAGCATAAGAAAATGAAAAACTCACTGCATGATATTCACTGACTTTTATTCATCAATCAAATTCAAAATCGCTATAAATGTAACTTATTTTCTCTCATCTTAACCGAATCGTAAAATAAAATTAAGAATCAAGGAAAAATATAGACCATTAAATGAGCGCCTTAGAGCATAAAAACCACACAATGAAAAATTTACGTTCATTTGTCTTTCACTCTCAATTTATAGGCAAATATACAGCCACGATGATTTGACTATGAACATTTTATTATAAAGTGAAGTTCAAGCTATGAAAAAAAAATGGAAATAAAGTTATTACTTACCATAATTTTCTGCTTTATTTCCTCGGTTCTTTATTTATTTATAAATATTTAATTTTCATATTTTCAAGTCTACTTGAAAAGTATTATTAAAAAAGCTCAACGATGCTTTTCGGATATTTTTTAAAAAAATAATAAAAAATAAATTCCAAGCTGTATGAAATATGAGCGGAAATGCAATGGGCCAAGTGTGCTTCATACAATTTTATCTGGACGAATTTAATAGTTTATCTCACTCATCACAATTGGAATGTGTGGACATGAGATGGGAATTTGATAGAATAATGAGAATAAGTTGATGGCAAGGGAATGCAACTGAACAGAACTAGGGGATCTAATGGGGAAATAACCCTTTGATACAAAAATTAATAGAGAAAGACTACAAAGCTGATACATAATAATCGGGAATAGGTTTAGTAGCCACAACCATTCCATCTGATTCCTGCTTCTTCCTTTCGTGAAGACTCAAGTCAAATCATGTCCAACAAGGACAATACCAAAAAGCAAAAATCGGCTAGTCGAATAGAAATCCTGCATCAAGCCAGTCATGGTGGAAGAATTAGATGCTGGGCTGGTGCCGGATTCCTATTCGATTAACCTTAACTTATAAATTCAACAACCGAAAAGGTTTAATAAATCATACATACATACATACATGCTGTTCGGGTAGAAAGCTGATACCTAATCGACAAGAATAGGTTTAGTAGTCAAGATCATCCTTTTCAGTTATGGCTACGTCCTTTCGTAAAGACTTCAGTCAAATCATGTCCATCAAGTATATTCTCGAAAAGCACAATCGGTTAATCGAACAGAAATCCGGAACTAAGTCAGTGTGACTCTGGAATGTTGTTGGATTCGATTTAAATCTATCTGGCTTGGTGCTAGATTTTTTTGTCGATTAACCGACTTGTGCTGTTCCGGTACAAGGGTAATGCGTAATCAACGGGATAGGTTAATTTGTCAAGACCATCCCATCTAGTTTCTGCTCCTTCCTTTCATAATAACTCGAGTTAAATCATGTCCATCAAGCATAATCTTTAAGAATGTCACCAACTTACATTCCCTTGAACATAAAATAATGAAAATGGTCAGTTTGGACAACTATTTTCCCATTAATTTCAGACTGATGTGCAAAAAAAATTCATTTTAGCCAAAAATAAAATAAAAACTTTTTTTTAATCCCCAAAAGGCAGAACAGATTTCAATGTTCAGCCGCACAATTGTGGCAGATTTTTTTTGGTTTTATGTCATGAACAACAACAAAAAAATTGGAATTTATTTCAGTTTCACTGCATGTAATATGATTATATTTGTGGCATGTTCTGACATCATCATTAATTTATGGAGATATTTCATAAAAATGGACGCGATGCTGTCACAAAATATTAATGATTAAAATAAAAGTCTTCAGGATTTGGTAAAGTTTCAGCGTCATCAATTTCCTCGCAATTATTCAAGTCAGTTCTAATGTAAGCTGTAAAAAATAAAGTTTTTTTTAAATAAGTTTATTGACTGTCTGAACATTGTCAATTCCTCTACCTGTTTCAAAGCATGTGTTATGTACTTCCATAATACACTCATTTCCAAATACTTGAGTTGAATTTTTATCATTTTCAGCACCACATATGGGATCGTAAACTTGCGGACATGAATACCAACAACCATCATCCGGTACGGCTCTAGCCGCAACATAATAAATTGAGATGAGCAGTAATGAAGCTTTTATGATAAATTCCATGGCAATTTTTTTTTTGAAATATAATAATAAGTTTTTTATTCCACAAACAAAAAAGTTATAAATGTAGTCCGTGGCTAGTCGGAATGGTAAATGATGAAATTTTTAAAAACTTTTTTTGTTTAATGTATGCGGCGGAATTATCAGAACTTTATTGTGGGTGTTGACTTGTGGATATGATAAAAATAAATTAATTGCACAAAATTTTTAGTTCCATTTTATAGATTGAAATACTTTGTTTAGCTTCACTGAATTTTAATTTTGACTAATGGTTTTTAAACATGAAACAACTGTAGGACGAGCTGTTATAATTATTAAAATTACCATGGTGAGCTTCTTCAATATTGTGCAAATATTATGTTTGGTTCTGGTATGTTTAATGTGATCTTGTGGAGGTTTTAGGTGATTTTAGAAATTTTTGGGCAGTTATAAAATCCATGGTAGCAATGAATGGGATGTCTTTTGGTCAACTCGGGATAAAAGCGACTCAAAAATCAATAAAAAGTCTCCCAAAATATTAACAAGGGTTCAATCACTTCCATTGCCTTGATTATTACATTAATGTTATTAAATTCAAAGTATATGCAAATAGTATTATCTTATGAGTAGCAAAATTTGCATAAAGCATTCAAGTTATTTGCTATGCAGTATAAACAAGCTGTAATTTAATAAAAATGTTTGTAGTGCAGCAAAGCAAAGATAGACGATTCGAAAAAAAAGTAAATTTTAATAAAATATGATAAAGTATGTGAAAACTTACAAAAGGATGGAATAATGTAAGCAGGCGCGTAGCCGGGGGGGATTTGGGGGACAACTTAAACAGAAATTTCTTTATTTTGCTAGGGTTTTTATAAAAAAATCACAAAAATACCCCCCCCCCCCCCCTTAAATTTGCCCCTGAATGTAAGCAATGTGTTTCTGGATGGTGCGATAAGCTGGAGGCACTGGGAGGCACTGCTGATCGATGAAACAATCAATCACACCTTTAACCGTTCCTGAATAGCACAAGTCGGGTAATTGACGCCAAGGCAGCAAAACTCTGACATGGTGCTAGTTCGATTTAAATCCAGAACCATGCTAAACTTACACGGGCTTGGTAAAGAATTTCTGATTGATTAATCAACTTGTTCCATTCAAGGCTTTTGCAACTTTAATATAAGCAAACTCAGAAAGGGTTTTCGCAATCAAACTTCTCCTCCGATTCGGGAATTTTCCAGAAAAAAATTTCAGAAGTCCTCGTGTCATTGATCGATGAACTTAAGCGCATTTTTATTTTAGCGATCAGTATTTTATTATTTAATTATTTTGCGTTCACTTACAGATCATGAGAATATTAAAAGATCATTAATTTTAGTATAATTAACAAATAATTACAATGAATGTCATATAGACAGGCTTTATCATTTAACAGTTTTTTGAAATTTGAATTTTTTACCGGTTAAAAATTCAAATTCTTGAACGCACCCTGATTATAATTTTTTAAAACGGTAGAAAATAATTCAAATTTCTAAACGCTTCAATCACGTGTTTTTCATTTGAAATAAAAAATCATTAGTTTAAGTGTAAATACACTGTTTTAAGACTTTTAACTGTTCGGCCGGCCAATAACTCCATAGAACTGAGCTAAGAAAACAAACCCGAGCTCTTTGGGATAATCCCAAACTTTCACAATTTTAACCTGACTCATAGTGCACCCCAGAACCTCATAAACGAACAAAACTCAAATCCAACTTAATTTAAATTTAATAAAATATTATTAAACATTTTTGCATAAATCAAACCACAGCAACGAGCATAAATTTACTTGCTATTCAACATAGTTCATCATGCCATCCTCCACACAATATCATTTTCATTCTAAAAGATAAAGTTCTATAATCAACTAGCAGCATTTTAAAACATAAAACTAAACTTTTTGATGAATAATGGCACGAAAATTTCAGTGACAAAGCCACATTTTATGCGGTGTTTTAGTTTGAACTTAATTTTTGAAAATATTTAATTTATTTTTGTGCAAAAATTGTGAAATATTTTGAATGTTTTATTGAATAAATTACAGAAAATGTTGTTATAAATAAAAGTTTTGGGAATTTAATGAATGCGATTATTATTTATAATGAATATGATTTAATTTTTTGATAAATGAAAGGTGAAAAAATGTGAAATGTTCAACCAAAATTTTGCTCGATTTATGAATGTGCAATTAAGAATTTGCCTGGGGCCGTTCACTTATGACGTCCGACATTTAGGGGGGGGGGAGGGGTTTTAGGATTTTGTGACGGTTCAAACAATGGAAATTATTTTCTATAGAATTTTTGTGACAGAGGGGGGAGGGGGGTCTAAAAATCAGGTTTTTTGATAGACATCATAAGTGAACAACCCCCCTGAAAATTAAGCTTTTATTTAGAAGGTTGGAAGAAGGAGGTGTGTCTACGCTCTTTTAATCTACCATAAAATAGTCAAAGTCACATAAAATCATAAAAGCAAACCTAAATGAACTACAAATCATGTCTAGAATCCATTTAACAACCTTTCGCACTTTCCAGTCAATTCTAATGCACTAAACTCAACATCACGTCCTCCCTTCCCATACAAACCCTCCAATTATTTCTCCTTCAAATAAAAACGAGCTATAGGTGATTAGCTATAGGTAATGACAGGCTCTCACATGCATTCAGACTTTCCAACCATCCATTTGTTTGCTATACCAAAGAGTCATTGAGCACTTTGTGCACCCTTTTATTTGTGCATATAGGAAGCATGTACATGTGGACTTTTAATCTGTTATCAATTTTACAACCTGTAGCAAATAGAAAATTGTGAATCATTTATCAAGCAGAAGTCTACAATATCCCTTGTAATTCACATAAACAGTCACGATCGGAAATATATTCTGTGAACATTCAAAAATTTTTGCTGAAGTTGTTATGAACATGTTTGAGGATGAACTGCAAGTTTTTAAAACATTTTGTGATTTTATGTGTACAAAAGTTAATAATAATAAAGTGTGAGAGACTAACTGCTGCAGTTTTGAATCTATTGTGCTGTTGTTAAATGTTTTCGGTAGTTTTTTGGGGGGGGTCATGAGTGATTGGGGTTATATATTCACACTGTAGATGTGTAATTCGTCTGTTTTTTTATGATATTTAAATTTCCCGTTCAAAAATGTCTGGATCTGAACTAGATGATACGCTCACCAGGATCTATGGGTCCTCTAGACTAGTCACAGTCAAATTTTATTGATGATTCTTAGTTTAGTTATTTGACTTTTGATTGTAGAGGGCCAAAGTAATTTTGGGACCGGTCAAAATGATAATGGATGGGGAAATGCGACGGGTGACATAAAAATGAACATTTGGATCTCGTAAGATTTTATAAATAAACAGAATCTCATGCATTAGTTCAGCATATGTGTTTAAGAGGCAACTAATTCAAGCTCAATAAAGGATAGAGGAGTCGGGGGGGGGGGGGGCAAATGACAACCATCTTACATCACTGAATGAGACTTTATATCAGTCTTCTTTGTAAATCGACCAGAAAGCCCTTAAAACAACAAAATCGGTGTGAATAAAACCATAAACAATAACTTACTTTCAATTCCAGTTGCCAACTCATAAATTGTTTGCATTATACTGAAAAATAAATTTCTCATGTCCTCTCAACAATACAAATATTATTGCAATATAGATCCACATGCATGCAAATAACACTTAATGTGTTCACATTCGCGCAACATTTATGTTGTTCGAGAGATAAAAGGAGGAAATAAAATTGAAACTTTTCGCTTAATTCCACTGTTGATATCGGATTATAATCAAATATTCAAATTGAATAAGTGCAATGATTTTGGAATTTAGTGTGAAAATTTTTGAAAATATAAACAATATGTGTGCTACTGCTGTTATTATTTAATATCGTGAATAAGGCTTAAAGCACATAAACGGCTTTTTAAAATTTGAAATTATTTTGAACTCGATGTGGGTTTAAATTTTTTGTAGCCGTTGAGACTTTTGTGGGCAAATCAAATTCAAACAATTTTTATTCAAATTGATTTTAAACTTGCATTGGCAAGTGCACCTTCCCCCCCTCCCCCAGAAAATGTCATTGATTCCATTGATTCCTTCAACTACAGCTACAGCTGAGTAGAGATTAGGTTACAACAAAAGACTTTCCATCTGAGTCTGTTGCTGGCTCTACAACCTAATTTATACAATTTGTCTGTCCGCACATTAAGCTGATATTCTTTCATCACTGTTCTGCGCCAAGCTTATTGATTCCTCAAATATCAGTTACATCAAAATTATTTATGACTTTTATGATAGTCATCTCCTATTCTACGCTTCTATGGACAAATATTTTCAAGACCATCTAAATGAAATTTAAAAACATAATTTGTTGATTCATCAATTTTTTTGTGATTTGTTCTCAAACTCAATAGATTTAATAACAAACATTTGTTGACAATAATTTTACATCAAAAATTAATATGTTTTTAAATCCATGTCCATAATTGATCAAAACAAAATAGAATATTCAAGAAAAAAGTCCACGAGGCTTATTTTTTGGTGTTTTTATTTTGATGTTGTGATATGCGATATCCAAATAATGTCAATTATTATTTTTATTTTTTTGTAAATAAAAATGTTCGCAAATTATCAGCAACACTACATGCCGACTTACATATTATAACACGTGGTGTGCTTTTCTGTATGTAAAAAGGGTTTATGTTTTTTTTGCATTTATTTAAGCAAAATACACACTGGCTCAAAACAGTTAAAAGCTTAAACCAAAAGCGCATTCAGGTAAAGGAAGGAAGACGGCAAAAACACCCATAAATTTGCTAGATTTTAGGAAAAAAAATTCAATAAATATCATTAACTTGGTTTTTGTCGCTCATTTCATCTATGTGGCTTTTAACGCTCTTGAACTAGTTCCAAGGGCCACCTTTGTAGCCGTACTTCCAAGAAATCACCCTATTTTAATATGACAATACGTCCCGATATGACTTTAAATTGAATTTTTTGAATTATTTCTTTTACACCACAAAAACCAAAAATTCAATTAATTTTTCAGAATTACGATGCATGACGATTTGCAGGCACGTAGCCGGGGGCTAACGTTAACAGAAATTTCTTCTTTTTGCTAGGGTTTTTATTAAAAAAATCTCCCCCCCCCCCCCCACAAATTTTCCATATAAAAATTTTTTTTGTTCCCCCTTTTCACATTCTTGGCTACGCCCTTGACGATTAGACTTACCGAAGCCCTTAATTCAAGCTGTTTAACACGCTTGTACTTTCAATTTACCAAACCATATAACAATGCATTTAAATGACATGTTCAATTACAAGGTATACGACAAGCTGATGCTAACAGCTAGTATCAATTAGTGATATCCAAATAAGCCTTCATTAAAATTGATTTAAAAGCCCATGACCTGCTTATTTACTTACTGACAAAGCTACGTTTCCTGTTTACCAAAAAATCTATAGATTTTCGGCTTATGCTAATCAGAAAAAAGCGTGTGAATGTTGTAATATTTATTTTTACGATCTGTTATCGTCCATCAAAATAATAGTTTTTTGTCAAATTTGATCAATTTGGTATAAAAGCACACGACATCATGTGTGAAAATTTCAGTATAATTTGAATAATTCTAAAATAAAGTGATAAAAATGAAATACAGTTTAATTTTGGTTGTTTTACCTGCGGTTACGGCTTTGACAATTTCTGAGGATTTTTTTCTTACCCGTCAACTTTTGGCATTTTTCGGGGATGCTTTTGATGATGAAAGCTCAGAATTAATATCAGCTGTGAGCAGCGACAACAAACCAGCAGCTTTAACATCACAATTAGACATAAAAGACCGAGCAGATCATTATTGGACCAGATTAGGACACAGAAGTCGAACAAGTGCTCCTCCGTACAATTACGATGAATTTTATTATAAAATCCCAAATACTGACTATAATGGATTTTCATTGGGAAGAAGGAGGAAAAGGGATGCAATGATTGGTGAAATAATTCGACAGAAAAGAGAAATGGAGATTAATAGAAGAGTGGATACGAATGGAGCATTGACTGGCGATCATCACAATTCAACTTCTGAGTTGCCTAAGCCAATAATTGATTATAAGTTTAAAAAGACATTGTGAGTGATGTTATTGTTAGAAATTAGAGCTAAGCTTAGCTTTACAATTAGGTTGTCAGTAGTGTCAAGTCTTTTTTGTGCTTGAACACTTTTTGTTAAGCCATGACCAAAACCGCGTACGGTTCATAGGATATCCTAAACTATTTCACGTCACGCAAATATGCCGCGTCACACGGGTTGGTATTCACTGGGTTTAGTACTTGTGAGTCTAAGAGTCTAGATTGAGGATTGATACTTATCCTGAGCGTAGCTAATAGAGTCTAGACTTTCATGAAAAAATGTCAAATGAATTACTCACAATTGCAGATTGATCTTGAGATAAGCTCTCGCTGCGGTCCAAAACGTTTAAGGGGGGACAATACCCTTGTGGCTAAGCGCCTGTACTAGGTAAAAGCTACCAAAACAGTGCGGAAATGATCAATTAATTTTGGACATGTTTAATCATCTTTACCAGTTCCTTACCCTTGCCAAAGCTTTAATCTGCTTTAAAGCATTCAGTTTTTACAAGGAGCAGTAGCTTGAGCACTCCTGGTTGTGGCATAGCCATGTTGAGGAGGTCTTACTAGAGTATCTTTGGGAAGGAGTGTCTTCTGCTCAAAAAACCTAAAACATTGACGAAACTAGTTCGTGGAGAGGAAAATAGGCTTGTTTGAAACCAAAAAACCCAGACTGCACTCACACAACTTTATTCAACTATATCAGCGCTATCCAAACTGTGTACCACGGCACAATTGTGTGCCACAATTTTTTTTTTGGAAATGAAGCGAGCCGTATGCTAATTCCGACTTTGGTCATGACTTACCCCTCAGTGGTGCCGTACCTCAAAAAAGTTTGGACAAAACTGCTCTGGTGTACTCAATAATTTAAATTTTAATCACTATCATCAAACTCTCAATAACACAGTAAATTTTTTTCAGTAGTAAATGTTGCTCCGATACCGAGGACACAACACCCAATGCCAATGAAAATTTACAGTCCATAAAATCTCAATGCGTTCAGGAAATGAAGAAGAACAAAAAGGCACACAAATCAGATAACTCAACGACTGACAGTGAAGGTGGCCTTTACAATTTATTTTCATGTGATCGACTGAATCGTTGGAAGGCAACGATAACATGCACAATGAACTGTATGGGACAAAAACTTGAAATGGTATGGAAAATTGTTTGATAATAAAAAAAGTTAATGTGAATTATTTGTGACTTAATAGGTTGATTCCGATGGAAACATTAATATAAACAGAACAAAATCAGTTATTTTAGACAATTTTGCGCAGCAGAGTTGGCAACAAGAAATTTCTGACGATGCTGTTGACAAATGTGCTCAAGATGTTATAAGCAAGCCAGGTATTATGCTTGATAAATATGGACTACAGTGTAAGGGAGATTCTTTGGATGAGTGGAATTTTAAAAAAACAATTGCAATTCTTCTTTTACTTGAAATTTCAAAATTCGTAAAACCGTTACATTTTCTGTTTACAAGTTTAAGTAAATAAAAACTAAATCAACCAATTTTACACAATTTTAAGGAAAAAAGGGTAAAATATCATGAAAAATAAACAAAACTTTGTTTAAAAATTGTATGACTTTTTAGAAACACAGGATAATATGGACATTTACAGACAAACGTGGTGTGCATTATAGAGTACTAAGTGGCCTTTATGATGTTTACACAGCTGCAGACTTTGTTCAATGTGCTAATTCTTTTGTAAAAAAAATTACAGTTTTTGAAGTAGATCAAAAAGAAGTCACTGATGAATTTCCTATGCTTGAGAAGCGATGGAAAAATTATAAAATTATTCCTGGAACACTTGATTTTCATTTTTTTATGCCTTCGGAGAAAGAAGGATACATCTGTGCTGCTAATTCGTCATTACTAGATGGCTTGAAAGAAATCAAGTTTGTTAAGAAGACCAAAAAGGTTTAATAAAATTCTTTTTTCTTGAACATAAATTTAACGGTTTTTATGATTTTGATTTTGTACCGGTTTTTAAAAATTCAAATTATTTGAAGCGCTTTGAAATAACTCGTTGACATGAATAATTTGTCAAAGAATTAAAAAATCTCATTAATTAAACTACAATGACGAGAATTAACGTAGTGAGCAGGTAGAATGAGGTGAATTTTATCATCTGGTCCTTATTTTTTGGGCAAAAACTCAATAGTTTTCTTTATTTTTTGATTCTTTGGATGCAAGTTCCATTTTTTGTCAACGAGTTATTGACAAAGAATCCAAATAACTTAATTAATGTATAATTTTACCATGCAGAATTAAAACAATTTGATAGATTTTGACCTAATGTACTAGCCAAAACAATAAAATGAGAGTCGGTAGAAGAAAAATTTAACAAAAAATTGATTCTTTGAAAAAAAATTCCAAAAACTCATCCAAAGAATCTCCCGTAACACAAAAATGGCTGAGTTCGCTTACTGCTTGTGGAGAGAATTTTTCATTTTATGTCCATCTGAAAGGCAGAATAAATCCAAGCAATGTGAAAAGCTTAGATATATATTGAGGAAAAATCATGAAAGTAAATTTAATGAAAAGTAAAATAATTATTTAAGAATTTAGGATTAATTTTAAGGATTGTAGCCAGATTGGTTTACAAATTTCTTCTGGCTACGAACTTAAGTCTTTAGGTTAGCTTTAGTCACTATAAATGCAAATTTAGTTCAACACTGTGCAAACCCGATCGGCACACATTGAAATTCATTGAAATGTTTGCTACCTGAAGGCCGGGTTGAAAGTATAATTAGAATATAGCGGCAACCACTTAGCGTCTTAGCGTCGTTAATGTGTTCCGATCGGGTTAATGATTAAATGAAGAATCTATAAAAACTTATTGAAAAAATAAAAATTAAAATGTTCCGATCTCATATTTATAATTTGTCATGAGTTATTAGTGACATCCTACATTGGTACTGAAGATCTGGCGCGTAGCCAGGGGGTGGATTTGCGGGACAAATCCCCCTTCGTTTTGAGAAATTTCTTCATTTTCCTAGAGTTTTTATGAAAAACTCGAAAAAATCACACCACACCCCCCCCCCCCCCCCCACCCCCCTCTAAAAGTTTTCCATACAAAAATTTTTTGCCCCCCTCCCTGCTTCAAATTCCTGGCTCCGTTTAAAGTTTAAGGTTACAAAGCAATGCAGAAATCATTGCTTAGTTTGTAAGGCTACCTGGGACATTTTATCCTAGTATTAAATTAATTTTACTCATATCGAAGTGAATTACTGTTCTTAGGTGCTTCGAGTAGAACCAGAAACCAGGCTCTGATTAAAAATTTCCAAGATTTAAGGGGGGGGGGGGGGTCAAAGGTGCAAAACTGTTCCAAAATGATCGATCCTTAATTCTTGAATTCATACTTTAAGTACGGGGTTGTTCACTTATGATGTCCAAGATTTCGAGGATGGAGGAAAGGGTGCGGAACTGATACAAAATGAGCAAAAATAATCAAAACTGATCAAAATCTAATTTATCAGTTCCGCACCTTTGGGGGGGGGGGGGGGGGGGAGGAGGGTCTAGGAATTCACCAATGAATGGCCTGTATGCTTTGTAAGAATTTTGAGCAAGAACTTAGTTCAAATAGCAATTTCCTATATTTTTACAACATACTAGTACCGTACAAGTTTTGCATTCAACAAAACAAGATTAAAAATGGAAGCAGAAGAAAATTTGGCAAATTGTTGTACTGCTTTTCAACTTTTTGGGCTTTTATATTTTTCAAACAAACAAAATGATATTTGTAATTTATCTTTTGTTAATTAAAGCAGAAATTGGAGTTATTATATTCTCGGCTTGAGGAAATTTTTCCTCCTTTTTGAGAAAAATTTCTCAAATTTGTCGTCAACATTTTCAGCATAATGTGGACTGTCTGGCACCAAGCCGGTGTGACTCTGGCATGGTACTGGACTCAAGTCGAATCCAATACCATGTCAGAGTCACTTCAGTTTAGTGCCGGATTTGAATTCGATTAGCAGACTTGCGCTATTCTTATTAGTAAGTGCCCGGGGTTGCTCTCGAAACTAGCTTGAAGCATATCCAGGGATGGTTTTCTGAGGTCAGAACCCGTTTTTGAAAAAAAAAAATTCTATGATAAATTAAAATTCTCAAAACACTTTAAATTTTTTTGCTCACCAAAAATTCAATTTTTGGACATTTTTGATAATTTTCGATCATTTTTTGATCATTTTTTGATCAATTTTGATCATTTTTGATCATTTTCGATCATTTTTTGATCATTTTTGATAATTTTTTGATCATTTTCGATCATTTTTTGATCAATTTTGATTAATTTTGATCATTTTTGATCATTTTCGATCATTTTTTGATCTTTTTCGATGATTTTTGATCATTTTTGATAATTTTTTGATCATTTTCGATCATTTTTTAATCATTTTCGATCATTTTTTGATCATTTTTGATAATTTTTTGATCATTTTTGATCTTTTGTAATCATTTTTGATCATTTTTGATCATTTTTTGATCATTTTTGATCATTATTGATCATTTTTTGATCAATTTTGATCATTTTTGATCATTTTCGATCATTTTTTGTTAATTTTCGATCATTTTTTGATCATTTTGATCACTTTTTGATCATTTTCGATGATTTTTTGATCATTTTTGATAATTTTTTGATCATTTTCGATCATTTTTTGATCATTTTCGATCATTTTTTGATCATTTTTGATCATTTTTTGATCATTTTTGATCATTTTTTGATCATTTTTGATAATTTTTTGATCATTTTCGATCATTTTTTGATCATTTTCGATCATTTTTTGATCATTTTTGATCATTTTTTGATCATTTTTGATCATTTTTTGATCAATTTTGATCATTTTTGATCATTTTCGATCATTTTTTGATCATTTTTGATAATTTTTTGATCATTTTCGATCATTTTTTGATCAATTTTGATTAATTTTGATCATTTTTGATCATTTTCGATCATTTTTTGATCTTTTTCGATGATTTTTGATCATTTTTGATAATTTTTTGATCATTTTCGATCATTTTTTAATCATTTTCGATCATTTTTTGATCATTTTTGATAATTTTTTGATCATTTTTGATCTTTTGTGATCATTTTTGATCATTTTTGATCATTTTTTGATCATTTTTGATCATTTTTGATCATTTTTTGATCAATTTTGATCATTTTTGATCATTTTCGATCATTTTTTGTTAATTTTCGATCATTTTTTGATCATTTTGATCACTTTTTGATCATTTTCGATGATTTTTTGATCATTTTTGATCATTTTTTGATCATTTTCGATCATTTTTTGATCATTTTCGATCATTTTTTGATCATTTTTGATCATTTTTTGATCATTTTTGATCATTTTTTGATCATTTTTGATCATTTTTTGATCATTTTTGATCATTTTTTGATCATTTTTGATCATTTTTGATCATTTTCGATCATTTTTTGATCATTTTCGATCATTTTTTAAACAATTTTGATCATTTTTGATCATTTTCGATCATTTTTTGATCATTTTTGATCATTTTCGATCATTTTTCGATCATTTTTGATCATTTTTGATCATTTTTGATAATTTTTTGATCATTTTCGATCATTTTTTGATCATTTTCGATCATTTTTTGAACAATTTTGATCATTTTCGATCATTTTCGATCATTTTTTGATCATTTTCGATCATTTTTCGATCATTTTTGATCATTTTTGATCATTTTTTGATCATTTTTGATCATTTTTTGATCATTTTTGATAACTTTTTGATCATTTTTGATCATTTTTGATCATTTTCGATCATTTTTCGATCATTTTCGATCATTTTTGATCATTTTTTGATCATTTTTGATCATTTTTTGATCATTTTTGATAACTTTTTGATCATTTCTGATCATTAGCAAATGGTTTTAACCTGATGATTAGATAAAAAATTTGATCTCTTTAATAAAAGTAATTGTTTGGTAATTGTGTGCATTGTAAGTTCGTCAACATTTACACGTGCTTGTAAATTCATTTTTTAAAAAGAATTGTGAATTTAAAAAATATTTGAAATTAGATTGTCAATATAATAATGTAATGCAATCCCAAGAGAACATCTTGATGATACTGTTGGTTGATTGTAAGTGTAATAACATCAACAAATCAAGTCTTGATTTTTCTATCCAACCAAATCAACTAGATTGTTATTCCGACACACACTAGAGAGTTTAATCATTGTACTTACTAGATTTACCTTAATAAAGCTACAAAAAGCTAACTTGGAAAAATTTTCAGTCAATTTTCGCACTTCAAATCATTCGCAAGTTTAAAAAAATGGAAGCTAATAAAAATCTGGCAAAATGTTGTAAAATATTTCAATGTTTTGGACTTTTGTATTTCTCAATTAAGAAGCCGTCCTCAAGCACATCAGCATCAAAATTCCAAAAGAGTGTTTTTGTTTTGATTTTATTGATTCTGTCAACAATAACTTTAATTTTAGAAAACTTAATGAGAGATTTTATATTAAAATCTGATTTACGTTCCTATATTAAATATTTATTGGTTGTTGGAGTAATGTTGACGTTTATTACTTCATTTATTCAATCTTATACAACGACATCAAAAATGCAGATAATTTTTAATAATTCTATATTAATCTCTCAACTTTATCGACAATGCTTTCAGCGTAACTTCGACTATAAGATCGTTAAAATTTGGCTTTATAAGGCAATTTCGATAACGCCAGTATTTCATATAATTTTTCATATATTTTATTCATCTGTTGAATTAGAATCTGATGCTAAACTATTCGCAGTGACTTCATTAGCAATATCAATGCTTTATGCTATTTTAATCCTTAAATATTTATTTTTTGTGCATCTTATAAACTACAATTTAATGGAATTCAAAATCGTTATTGAAAAATTATTTAATTCTAATTCTGAATCAAATAAAATCTTTTTAAGATCAAAGTATGATTTTATTGTGGAACGAAAGTTGAAGACGTTGAGAAAAATCTATTGCTTAATACAAGAAAATGTAGACTTGATTAATCAATGCTTGGGATTACAAGTTTTACTCCAAATCTTGATTATTGCTGTATCTTCAACAAATGATGCCTATAACTTATTTTTAACACTTATTAAAGGATTTCCCTTTATTAAAAGCATCGGTAAAATATTACGAAAGTCCTCGTGTTATTGATCGAGGGATTTCAGCGCATTTTTGACGCAGCGATCAGTATTTGACTGGTCAATTAACATGGATTGAGTAGTAAAATATTAGTAAAACTGTTTATCATTTAACGATTTTCTGAAGTTCAAATTTTGAAACGGTCGTATGCATTTGAAAGTATCTTGCCAAAAGTTACAGTAAAAGCATTAATTATAGTATAAATAACAGTCTGTTGCAAAAAATTTTGATAAAAAAAGGCTTTGTAATTAAACGGTTTTTTGAGATTCAAAATTTTTTAACGGTAGAAATAAATTCGAATTTCTAAACACTCTCATCACGTGTTTTTTCATATGAAATATAAAAATCATTAATTATAGTACA